TACACTGACCAGATTCTTCACCAGTTGTATGTTAGTGGGGAAAACGGCATTTTCCTCCATGAACTATATTGTTGTTGATTTTTTATACATGAAGTATTGAACCCGGCCAAAACACACATGAATTCGTATGTTTTTTTAATTTACTACATAATCTTTTAAAACTTGGTCAATTCACACAAAACCGTTAACGGAGTCAATTTTCCGTTCACAACGTTAACTCTCCGTTAACGGAGTCTGACGTGGAGGACATGTGGCTAACCTTTTCGGATCTAATAATTTTTTTTTTATGGTCAGTTCATAAAACGACACTGTTTTATGATTTGGGGGAAATTTTTTTCAATAGAACTTAGGGTTCATCGGGTTTGGTTTGGGGGAGAGAAACAAATTTTAGGAAGGTTGAGAGATAGAAAGAGAAATCGAAAGTGAGAAATTAGTTGTTTGTGGGTTTCGAATAGGGACAATTTGATTGAGATAGAAGATTTCGCTATTGATCTCGAGGACTTTGTGTCTTCTCGTTTGAACAGCTCCTTTCACTCAAGATGACGACTCAATCGGCCAGAAACATCTAAAAAATAACTCATCGGACCGGCGATTTCAAGAACACGAGTTTTCTTTTTATTCTAAGTTTTTGTTTGTTCCTCTGATTTTGATAGTAGAAGCTACACAGAATGTTTTAATGGCGGTTGAATCAGAGTTTTGATATAGACAATATTAAGCCATTGTTTTTGATTTCAGGTTTCAATCATCTTTTCTTCAATATTATACAAAAAGTTTTGGATTGCTTGAATATCTAACAATGATCTTGAAAATAACTTGGCAAAAAAAAAAATCTGTAATGATTTTTGGCTTATTCGATATTCTTCTTCCATAAATCTTCAACAGTTTTAAGTTCCAATACCAAAGAAGAAACGTTTTCATCAAAAACCAAAAGCACTCAAGGACAAAGTTGTCGATTACAAAATAAAAACCAGAAACAACATTACGAAACATATGTATCAATTTCTGGATTTTTTGATTACGGAAATGGCAGCAACAATCAGGTCACACCTCTCCTTGCATAACTCCATCTCCATATCAAACAAAGCCTTACTTAAATCATTCAACTTTTGGGCNTTTTCATCTCCAATAATTAGCTTGTCCCTCTCCAAAAAGCTTTCAGGTAACAAATTTTCAGCAAGAATGGTGACCAGACGATTCTTCAAATGAGGATACTTGACCCAAAACTCTTCTTCAGTAACAATTTCTGTAATAGCAACACAAATTAACACAGAGATATCAGAGAGGATTACAAATTAATTGCTTTTATTGACGCATCAGAATGTTAATACAACCTTTTTTCCGATTATAACAAACTTAAAACCTCTCAAAATTGAACAAAACAGATGATTCCTTAACGATCAATCTAGCTTCGTACGAGTAAGAAAA